CAGCCTCGTCCTCCTGCTCCTGCCGGCCTCGAGAGGGCGGGTTGAAGGGGGGACAGCCTCGGCCTCCTGCTCCTGCCGGCCTCGAGAGGTCGGCGGGGAGCACGGCCCATAATGCCCTGAGAAACCTCCGGTCAGGGAGCGAGCACCTCGCTGTGTCTTGCGCCAGCCAAGCTTTTGGGCTTTCACCAAGGCAAATAGTGTAATTCACTATAAATCTAAACCTGGGCCAGAAAACGGTGGGTGCATTTGGTGCAGCTCAGGAAGCCCTGGGAGTTGTTTTGAAGCTGGAGACATTTGGTTGTAGCTGCAGGTGACCTTGTTCTTCAATAAAACAACCCAGAAGTGCCTGTCCACAGATACTAACTAAACGACAGAAAATAATTTTCATATAGCCATTCCTAGAGACTGCAGTCCAAAAGAGCATTTTATATTCACATCTGAAGAGTTTAAGAAAGCAAAGCTAGGTGGTAAATTAATAACGGTGATGCTCCACTGCGTTTATTGGACTGCATCTGGCAGTGCCTATGCTGAAAGCGATTAAATTTAATTGACTGCCTTATGTGTGACATTTTCCCAAACAGCTTTTTATAACATGGTTAATTGGAGATTAAGGATGGAAAAGAATGAAAAATCCTCCATGCTAAGAGCAAAATGTTGAGCTTCTATACTGGAGCCAGGAGAGAGGATTACTGGTGGCTCAAGCAGAAAATTTGCTCTTATGCCCCAAAACAGCAACAACAAAAAAATTCTATGGCAAGTTGAAGAACTTACGGACTATGTGGTCAATACAGTAGAAACCAAAATGAATTCACTACCTTAAAAATATTCATACCAAATTGTCTGCAGATACCAGTTACTAATAAGTTCTATTCCTTAACAGCTTAGGGCAAATCCATAAGAAACATGCTCAAATGCATCAATTCTCAAATTGCAAGAATGAAACAACTAGGCAAGATTAATTAGAAGCTATTCTTCCACCTAAAAAAATAAGCTGAGGTCTGCAAAACAGTTTTTTTCCCCTAGTCTTCCCTCCTTTTCTTCATGTGAAAATGCAAAACTATTTTTTTACTCCTGCATAATGTATTGTTAGATCCCGTGGTTGAGGAGGTAGTGAATCTGAACAGAGTAAAAATGAACGTGCATATGCCACAGATTTTGCCATTTTGCAGTTAAGCACAGTATTTTTTTTTCTTTTCTCCTCATGCTGTTTAATGATCACTTATTTCCTCGCTCCTCACAAGGAGGAGTCAAGCTATGCTGTGCTCTACTTTATTTTACTGCTCTAAAAAGCAGAAGAGCGGGAGCAGAGACCTCCCCTGCAGGAGGTCACCTGGGATGAGCCCCAAGACAAGCCTGGGCCACCTGCAAACCAGCGCTGCAGCCATTGCCCCAGGGGCAGCGAGCCAAGGGGCTGATCCTGCCCAAATCCTTCCCCCTTCCTCTCTGGCTTTCTGAACACGATGCCCATCTTGGCTGTGCTTGTAAGAGCCCTGGTACAAAAGGGGCTCTGAAAAGCAGAAGAGCGGGAGCAGAGACCTCCCCTGCAGGAGGTCACCTGGGATGAGCCCCAAGACAAGCCTGGGCCACCTGCAAACCAGCGCTGCAGCCATTGCCCCAGGGGCAGCGAGCCAAGGGGCTGATCCTGCCCAAATCCTTCCCCCTTCCTCTCTGGCTTTCTGAACACGATGCCCATCTTGGCTGTGCTTGTAAGAGCCCTGGTACAAAAGGGATTTTGTGGCTATAAGGTCTCCATCAACCGGGAATTTCCCGGCCTTAGTGCCAGGTCTGGCGCCTTCCACAACAGAACATGAACCCTCTTCCCCAAATAGCAGCCATTTCCAGATCTATGAGATTAGAAAGTTTAATTTTGATAGAAGATTCAAACACAAACCAAGGAAATAATTTAGATACACTATGTACACACAAATGTTTAAGTACAGTAATTTCGTTTTACGCAATGTCCTCCTAGTAATATCATTGGGAGTTGTGTGAAATGACAGCAGCAGGGTAATGCCTTCCGGGAAGCAGGGGCTGCAGCTTTCTAGAAGCACACTTAGAGCTTCATTTCTGTCCCCATTCTATAAGCAGCACCTGAAGCAACGTATTTCTCTTTCAAGTGGCTGTGGGATGTTTTACTCAGCACTATCATAAAAGGAGAGGTCACTGTCGCTACAGGAAAACGAAGCCCGGACTCTAGCAGAAGAGGGGAGGGAGATGGAGCGGTTATGACTCCTGACCCAAGGAACGGCCACTTACCAGGGGCCTAACAGCTGTCAAGTAGCACCACAAAACCCTGGCAGGGCCACCAGGCTGCCCTGGGCAATACGAAGTAGGGGGAAGGGAAGGAAGCCAAAGTTCTGTTAAATTTGGCCTGTCCTTGGAAAACCTGCTTCCAAATATCATATGCTTTCTTACAGCCTCATTGAGCAAACAGTATTCAAGGCCGCTTAAATGCATGGGATCTGTGCTTAAAAAGAGTTGGCTATACTCATTTCTGCTGTGCTAACCATAAAAGCATGATCTATGGTTTTTAGATGTCCAGAGACACAGCCCATATAGAGATGTTCCTATAGTGGCAGAAAGGTCTAAAAACTGAAGCGAATGTATTACAAGCAGTTTAACTTGATCATTGTGAACCAAATAAAATCAGTATTTTGTCGATTTAGCTCCCTATGCTGATATTACAAATTTAGCTACAAGCCAACTACTAGAATACTGTTAAACAAAGGACAGCTGAGATGTCAGAACATAATTTAAGTATATACAACATAGTAATATAGTCATAAAATAATAATTATTAATAAAAATAGACATTTTCAGAGTGGGAATGTATTTAAGATATTTTTCTGTCATTATAAGGACTTGCTTAATGGAACTCAGTAATACAATAATCTTTTTAGTGTGCACACTGCCAAACCATAGGTGCTTATCTGAAACTCGTAAGCTACAGCAAAAGAAATATATTACAAACCATATTAACAAACCATATCAAATGCAAGATTTCTTCATTATAAACTATTATTGCTATATTCATTTCAAATAATACAAAATATATAAAGCCTCCCCAGAAATTTGGTAATTAGCAGATTTCAGTTTCTTTAATTGCTTCCATTAGTCATGTGCTCATTTTATTAACACCAGATGCAATAATACAATGCTAAAAATAAACATGCATCATACACAAATTTGTATTTTTCAAAAAAGTTCATTACAACTAGTGAATGCACATGTTACCCTTTCCCCTACCTTTAGCGAACGGTTGTTTTAAATAGATAAAAGGGAAGGAAGGAGAAACCAAAACTTAATGCTTTCAGCACCAGTAAAAAGTCAACAGACCTTTAACATTCCCGTATATCAAAAACATGTTATCTGTAGCACTAAACAGGTAAAGTTCATTACATTGTCCCATTTGAAGATGTATTGATTTATATTTACAATACTTTGTAGTCAATAAAACATTTTAACAATATTTAAAAACTGCTTGAATTCATAAAAGTATTGCAGAAATTTATAACATTTACTTATTTTACGTACATACAAGGAAGTCCATGTAAAACTGTCCATGTTCGCATGAAGAACTGACAGAGTAAGGAGCAATTTTAATACGTTTTGCAAAACCCCAATTATTTGAAGGCAGCTATCATTAAACATTCAAAAATCTTTAGTTGCCATTTGCTTCTGAAAACTAAAGTTCCAGTAATAAAAGTGAGTATGTAAACTAATACGTTTTCGAGATCAGTAGAAAATATAGTCCCACAGGCATAGCATGTTTAATAAGGATGATAATGATTTTGTAGAAAACTGTTAAGATGTAGTGATATCTAAACAGACAACTCAGTAATGGTCTTCTTTGTGAGACCTATAAATAGAGTCATTTTCAAATATCCTGTATTTTAGCAGCTCGTTGTATTTCCAGTTAAACTTTCTGCAGTGCTAAAATACAGCTGAATGTGTAATACGTTATTAAAATTTTAACTTCCCATTTATTTTGGCATCTAAAGCCTCTAGCAAAATGTAGCCATGTAACATTGACTTCATAAGTCTAAGAGCCAATAATATCCCAACCAAAAGTACACACTGTGCTTTAATCTCCAAATAATTAGGTACCCAAAATTAAGAAAAAGTAATAAAGTAAAAAGAATAAAATGAAAAAAAATATTGCACAGCCACATTGCCTAGAAAGTAAAAGTTGATGTTAAAAAAGCCCTAAGTGTGGATGATATAAATTATCTTCCATATAAAAAGTATAAATATCTCTTAAAATACAGCTGCAGCTATACTTTAATACCACACATTATTTGATTCATCTGTTAATGAGGTAATAACCAAGTCTCTTACAACACTTTACTGGAAATATTTTAGGGCAGCAACAAGAAAGAACTTTTCTAAAAATATTTCTGAATCAAGGACAGCAATGTGTGCAGCTCTCCCTATAAGCGAATCTGCTGTATTGGGCAATGCATTAATTACATTATAACGAACCAAATTACATTCCTTATTTTGAAGAACTGGCAGCAGCAGGTTCTGGATCATTTCAGCATAAATTGGTCCTGTGGAGGAAAACAGAAGTAAGTTGTATTGTGTGAATCATGAGAAGCAATTATGGTTCTATGACCTTTAGTGGAAAATACGTGTCTTCCAGAATAAGAGAGGCAATGTATGTCATGCTGTTTCTCTGCTAAGATAGAATATAAGATGCCTAATTTCCTCAGAAGTCTTTGAAAAAATAATTTTATAACTCGCAAATTTTATTGTTCATACATTTATTACACCAATTTACTATAATGGCTGTTTAAAGGTATTTACTTGTAAGTAATGTTATAATACGGTTGTGCTAAACTATCTTGCAATAAATACAATAATGACACATCTCTGAAAATAAGAAAGGCTTCTCCTTTCAGTGCTGGTATGAAGCCTCTTGTAAGCAAAAGAGGTCAAATTCAGCAGGCAGCTGAGCTCTCACAGGGATCGTGTCTCTCCCTTTCTGCAGGGTAAGCCCAAGGTGACTAAAGACACGATGGAGTTACCTCAGAAAAGCACCCAAAAGTAAACGGAATTAATCAGAGACCTCTGAGATTAATCCTCAGTGGATATTTATTACCTGATTGCTTATCCTTTAATGCCGTTTTACACATCTCAATGCGAGCAGAGTGGTAAGGAACATAACGATCCTGCAGAGATCCCACTAACACTATGTTTTTGAAGTAATGAAGACCTGCAGGAAAAGAGGGAAGAGAAGTTATGTTCTATAATGAATCACTTGACATTTGCTACAGAATAGTTACACATTTTACAGCCGGAATTTGGAACCAACTTATTACAAGTCCTTGTAAAATAAAAAAGCAGGAAAATTAATTACAATAGGAACAGCGAGGGAACAACTAACTGCTGGATACTGTACATGCACTTGAGTTTGACCTAATTCTGCTGATTCCTACTTAACCAAAAGTTCTGTTTCCAGCCTTTCTCTTGCAGAGGGGACATGTGAATAAAGGGTGCAGCTTCTGGATGACAGAGAGGAGTAAAGCCTTTGCCTTGCTTAAAGACACCTGCAAGTGACTGTGCTCTTTTCTCCACTCGTCCCTCAGTGAGCAATGTGGCTGTTAATGCCCAGCCCAGGCATGGAGGCCACAGGGCCTCCCCCAGGCACTGCCTCGCTGCAAGGTTTGGCCTCCTCTAGCCCCAGAGGAGGGTCCACCCAACACAACTCTTCAGATTCCCGCTACTAAACCCAGCTTCCTACTTCCTGGGCAAACACTGTAACAGCAAGGTGAAGCAAAGGCAGGATCCCATGAGGGATCCCCTAAGGATCCTGAGGGAACTGTTAGGCAAAATCAGCCAACACCAAATTTGGGTGTCTGTAAAGGGAAACAGCAATGCTTAGTTTTGCATTGGTGCTATTAGCCCTACTTTTAGCTTCTGGAGAATAACGGCCCCTAACCCTTCCTTTGTTCATCTACAAAATTTGCTGAGTACATTTTGAGAATTATAGAAATACTGCATAAAAATAATTCTCCAAAGGTACTACTCCGAATCTGTGGCAAACATTTTATATAAATCAAACTTTTCTTTCATACAAACAACAAGAAAGAGAGAAATTATTGCAGGAAGAAAAATAAATGATTTGCATTTGAGAAGCTGTACTGCATGGATAAACTCCTGAGTTTCAGTTTCTCTATGTTGTTCACAGAGAATGCATACATGTATTGATATGTATTTGTTTGTAGAAAGGAGAACAGGCCCTGATGTAAAACACCCTTCCTTCCCCCAGAGGTTGTTATCCAAGTTTCCAATATTTCATAGTCTGTATAATGAATACGCTATCCCAAAACCAAGTGAGTTACAAGAACAATGAGATACAAGTTTAATATGTAAAAGTTGAACTTCCCAGATTTCAAAGGAAATTGATAAACACAAAAATCTAGAAATCTATAAAATATACATAGAAATCTGTATTATCTAGAGATGTATAAAATTACATATAGAAAATGCATCCAGAAGAGATCCTGGAGTCTGTCCCCATTCAATAGGTATTTTTTGGACTTGTGTCACCACTGGAAGTCCCAATTGGGATTGAAGTCCCAATCTTGTAGTCCGAGTTCATTTATTCTGACGTGGTTCACATGACCTCTGTGAATACGGATAGGGGTTTCAAGCAAGAGAGGAATCAAAATGGAAAATATAAACTTAGAAATCCCCCAGATCTCCAGTACGTGAGATATCCCTGAACCATTTGTCAACGGGAAGGAACTGCATGGCATTCAACAGCTAAGGCCGTCTGACAGGCAATGCTAAGAAAACATCCAGGACAAAAGCACAGAAGTTCAATCTCAGATATGAAAGTGTGAAATACTAAACTCTGCCTACAGTACAATGATCCATATTTTCTTGTGGAGCATTTTTTTTCAGCTAATCAATTAAAAATGAATATCTCAAAGCCTAATTAAGACAACATTTCTGCAACTGTTGTAATTAGGCAAAAATGCTATATTATTAAAATCGAACTCCATCAGGAAAAAAAAAAAAAAAAAAAAAGGGCTCATCACATCATCTTTGCAAAGTACTCCAAAAAGCACTATGCTTTTCATCAGCTCGAAAGTACTGAGCATTTTTTCAAAAAGATCTGGGATAGTTTGAAAAGAACAATCCCACTGAAGGACCTCTGCTGACATAAAAAGCTCTGTCCCATATAACAGAATGTTCTCTTCTGTGGTAGGGAAGCTTTTCTGGGCTTTCCACATTTTTACTGTGTTCCTCATCTTCTAAAGAAACTTCAGTCTCAGCTAAAGTTAATTTAAGCATACACACAAAGCACAATTTCTATCATTTAACCATAGTTTCATTCATGGTAGCAGATGAATGAATCTCAATAATAGCATTTATAGTCATTATTGACTTAGTGATTAACTACAAATTCATTTTTTTTTCTCCAAATAAATTCTCAAGTGGAGGAATCTGGAGCAGTATGTAGATAGACCTGGTAACCCACAACTAACTGCAGTCAGAGAATTACATTTCTTATATAAATTTTAGTGCCAGAATCAGAAGAGTGTATAGATGAAATGAAATCTGCCTTCTAACTCTCAACATCCAAATAAGCAATGGGAGCTGGAGCAAATGGTTACTGATTTTCTCTGCCACTTCCACAACAAACACGACCACAACACGCTCCATCTCCTTCAACTCATTAAAACAAGGCTTCCATTGTCTGCAATGGGTTCACACAATCAAATAAAATCAAATAAAATCACTTAAAATCGCTAACAACGCTCCACCATCTGATCCTGTAAAGTAAGCTGCTGTTTTGCTTAAGTACCTGCTAATCATCAAATCCTGGAATAAAACAACTGAGGTTAAGAGAGGCTGTTGGGGACTGTCTGGGCTTCCCCCCCTTCTCTGGGGAGTGCTGGCTTTGACACTGCATCGGGTAGCACGGGGTCCTGTGTGATCAAGTGCGGTGTCAGAGGAAACTCCTTCTGTCAAGGTACAATCCTGATGTTTCCTACAAGTCCATCCATTAACAAACTCACCTGGAAAGTGGGAGCTCTGACATAAATGAAGTCTGGAAAGAGGGATTTCAGAAATTATGCCCTGGAAGGCAACCATCTCTCCTCCCACTGCCCTCCCAGACTATTCTGGAAAGCTAACACATCCCACATCAAGCTAGATTCACACCCCAAAACCTCAAATCCTGAGATGCTTGAACACACTGAGGTCCCAGTGCAAGGAAGCTCGAAGAGTTTCTGCCCTAATGACACAAAAAGACTGACCGATTTGTGCCAATTCAGAATTTCTTGTCACTCCAAACTGCCTCAGGGATTTTACTCTGAAGAGCTTGGCCTACGAGATCCTTTCAGCACTGCTGCTGTAGAACTACTGAGAGCTGGGAAGCCCCAGGCCCTCTTTGCAGCACTGCTCAGGTCAGCACAACCGGCAGTTACGCTGTGTCCCTTGGAGCCCCACATTTAAACTGAGTAGCCAACGGTCACTCCCTCAAGGCAAGGGGTGTCAGCCTTTCGCTCCCCTCCAAAAGGCAGAGCGTTCCGCTGAGCGGTTATCCTGCGTGCAACAGCCACACCAAGGCAGAAAATGTCAGCCAAGCTGGCTCCATGCTCACCTACTGTTAACATGGATACACATGAAAACTAGAACTTCCTTTCTTCATTTTCAGAGATTAGAAAAATTCATATTTTAAAAGGAAGGGGGAAGATAAGGCAGCAAATAAAGCACATCAGAATTCTGTCAATCAAAAAATTTCACTTTGTTCTTATAGAGTTATTTTGAAATATTTCTGGTTGAAAACAATACCATATCATGACATTATGTTTACACAGAGCACAATCATTTTATTTATTTATTTATTTATTTTAAATCTGGGCTGCTACAAGGCTTTTTGTTCTGAACAGCTTGCATGTCATCGTATCTGGCAATCTGCTGTAATTTCTTGTCACTGTATGAAATTAACAGTCATTTCCAAGACGCCAGAAAAAAACAGACAGATTGTGGCTGCTGAAGATATGACAAGCAGATTTTAAGAAGATTATTCCCAAAGGTAAAATAAATCTAAAATTTATTATCATGAAGAAGCAACACCAGAAAATTAAATTTACCACTGGGCTTAAAAACACATAAATCTCTCAACTGGCAACATAAGGTAATGAGTGCAAAGGAAAATGAAAATTCTGAAATTCACATAAACTTTAACTCTCTTCATTTTGAGCTGTCCTACTATCTTTTGTTACTTATGAGCAGACATGGACATATCTTGTTCTTTATCAGCAATTACCAATCATGATAATTTTAAAAGAAAGAATAGCTTTAACTTAAAGGAATTTTGAATGGTCAAGTCCAGAAAGGAAACATTTAGATTTTTTTTGGATAGCAATCAAATGTTTAAGTCTCAATTCTCCCCACTACCTGCTTTTATTCTTTGCAATAAAGATTTCTTTTCACATGGCAATCTAATACAAAGCTTGAAAAATTGTTCTGTGTTCCAAATTCTAAAGCTCAAAGATAAGGTAAAAATGGGCTTTTAAAGGCACTTCAACAGGTTAACTTTTTAAAGTTGCTTTCCCTGATTTAGCAAAAAATACCTTGATAGCTGGGCAATGAATAAACTGCATTTTTTCAAAACATTCTACAACAATAGCACAGCAGTAACTGCATAAAACAAAAAAGTTTGCAGACAAACCACAGAGTGATCTCTTCTTTTAGAGAATCAAAACGCCTTTTTTTTTTTCCCCCTCTTCCCTCTCCCTTAAATAAATTTATCAGACTTTCACATCTTTCCTCCCCAACCTTTCCTTCTCACTTGCCCAAAGCGCCCTGAAGAAGCTGGAAACCAGATGCTCCTGAAACCTGATGTGACGCAGTGACCCAAGATACAGCACTTGATGTCTTCAGTAAGAAGGCAGGAAAAGGAAGCTGAATCTTCAGAAGCCAAATGACTGCCTAGAATTTATAGAGTCTGTCTACAGTTATGGAAATAAGATCTGAAACTTGGGTCACAAACTCTTATTTAACTCTGATCTAATTTTAAACATTAGGTTCAACTTCTCCTTCCCTTTCCAAAAGCACCTTTTTTTTTCCCGACCAACTGAAATGAAATGGAAATAATAGTTTTTAGTAGCTAGTAAAAACTTCACAGCATAATTTCAATTTAGATAACAGTAAGAAAGCAAATACAGAAACAGATAATCATGAACAAATGTGGATGTACTTGACTAACCCCAGTGAAATCACTAACTTTGGTGGATGGAGAGGAACCTGACACAGTGTGGTGGCAGCTGTTGTTCTTCATTACTTAAGGAGGGAAGTCTCAAAGTAACTATCCAATTCCAGAAAAAAGTAGTCTTTTGTTTGGCTTTAATAGATTCTTCAAGTAAAGTAGCTTTTAAATAACGCAAGGGTTGGTTGGACAAGTATTTATCCAAATATTTATTTACATTTATGTACAGTGGTCCTTAAAGATGGTAACTACTAGCAGCACTTACCTGCTTTTTTACTAAGCTTGTATAGGAAAGTTTGTCGTGGATCCGAATGGTCTCGACACGTCAGCTGCAGTAAGGAACCAGACTTCTTCCACTTCTGCATAAACCACAGACCTGCATTGTTAGGCACAACGTGAGTCCACAGTAAAATATGAAAAGTAATCAAATGCGAGTCAAACGCGTAGAGCTAGAGCCCATACATTTAGCTCCTCCTTTTATTTTTCATCTGATCATTATCAAGCAAGCCTAGAAGCATTTTTAACTTTTATTCATTAATCTTTACTCTCTGCGTATGTAATAAAAGCATAAAGAGAATTATTTCCACTTATGTGCATGCCCTCATAGGAAAAATAAGTACTTTATATATAAATATATATATATATATATATAAATGTTGGTCCTAAGCTAATTCACAGATTTTATTTCAGTATTTTACAGAATATTAGAACTTTCTGGTGTTGAAATATATAGAACTCAAAATAAGTGTTACTTCCCAAAATTCTAAAAATAACTTTACAGAATCATTGAATTCACTAAATATAACTAGAAGAACAAAGGAAGCAGATTTTTCTGTGAGGAAAATCATTGATTGCTATAGCTATTGCACACTCTTGATTAGTCAGTGATTTAAGCCAACTGACTGTTCAGAAGCATCTCTTGCCAAGCAGAAGAAAAGCAAGCAACCAAGCCCTTATACCCTCCAGAAAGTCTTTAGACATTTAAGCCACACAGGGAAAGGATTATCTTCTTCACAGCAATTTACTGAAGGTTATTAATGTACACAGTGCACACAAGTGTGGTAATTTAGACTACAATACCGGTACTTACATTATTATTATCTTAGTATTTTTAATGGGCTTGAAAATCTAAAACATGGAGGGAGGTTAATTTAGACTACAATACCGGTATTTATCATCTTAATGGACTTGAAAATCTAAAACATGGAGGGAGGTTATTGTATGAAAAGGACATTTTGTATAGTTTGGAACTATAGAACATCAAAATCTTCAGAAATCCATTTTTTTTCAGGGAGTATACTCTGGATGCTACTGCAATACCTCTAATCTCAGATAACTAGAGGTCATTTCCTGGTTGCCGCAGGAATGATCCCACACCCATGTCTCTGTGCAGGCCGGAATACTGCAAGTTGTAGAAGCCAAGTCATGTTAATGCTTTGGGGAGCTTCCAACAAAAAGGGGGGATTCAGTTACAGATTAAAACACTTGAATGCAAGTGCTCACAAGGATACTAAGGTAGATACCCAGTAGATGCCTGTAGTGCATCCTACTGTAGATGTCTTGGAGGGAACCTTGTCCATAGCATATCCTATATATGACTATATATGGTGCCATTTCAACCAGGGCCAAAGAGCTCTCATGTTTCTCTATTTCTGTGAGCTCTATCAAGAACTCCAATTAGCCAACAAATCATGTCAACCCAACATATATGTTAGCCAGTGTTTTCCCATGATCTTTGTATTAAAGAAAAGTCATTAAATCAACTACGCAGAATAACTTTCTTCATGTTCTTTTAAGTATTTTCAAAATTTGATGAGCGTGTTCATGTTTAATGAAAATAACGGCTATTCAGTTTGGTTTGGGACCCATCAAGGCAAGCAGTAACCCCCTCCAAATTTTTCATCCTCAGTATTTTATTTTAAAATATTAGGCTATCTGAAAATATTTTCTAATGTTTATTTCAAAAGCCAGCACTTTCTACAGGTTCTCCTACACCTATACTTGGCCTTGAGAACCTGCAAAGGAAAACAGACACTCACAAGGTAGGTGCAAGGCTGAAAAGGCACACGGCAACATGCAGAGAAATCCAGACTTTTTCTTAATGTAAGAAAAGGATGTAAAAAACTTTTTTGAGAGAGAGGAAATGCACCAGTAATAGTTCAGAATTTGTTTAGGGCATTTTAACTACTCTATTTGCAGATTAAGTATATTAAAACTCAATTCATGATGAATTGAGCTCAACACATTACAGCTGGAATTTCTTAAAGGTCTGACAAAATCCCGTTGAAGCAACTGGCAAACTCACACGTCAGCCACCTCCTGCATCGACACTTGACTTTTGGAGCCCTTCCCTCTCCTTATGATAACAAGGTCAAATGTGCATATCCAAGCAAGGCAGAAACCTGCACCCTACGTGTAACTTCTGGGTACATTTCAAGGACAAAATCTCCACTAAACTCAAGAGCATGGAAAATCACACGTTACCTGTATTAACAAGAGCACTGCTGTTGTAGAGTGTACCAAGATGTGGTCCAGACAGAGACAGGAAGGTGTGAAGTTTGTTGAGGTAATATTTGAACCGAGGTCTTGTGAGCACTGAACGGATTATTAAATTACCCAGCGAATGTCCGATAAAGCTGTTTAAAAATAAGATAAGGTAACACAGAATTTGATGGCAATCTCTTTTTTTTCCTGCTTTTTAATTGTGAAAAATAAAAACTAATGTTCAGCATAAAATGCTGAAAGAACACAGGAAGAGAAATTAACAAAATGTTTCCCTGCAAAAGCCGGTATGTTAGGAGAAACAGCAAACAGAGCTGGTCTGCATCTCCCAGACTGCACTGTTTCCTTAGAGATGTTTTCAGCTCCTCAGAATAATTTTACACATAATTTTTCCACATAATTTTCCAGCAATTCCTCCCACCCAAGATCATTTCTGAGTATTTCTCTTAGAGCCAAGTATTTAGAGAACATTTTGAGATGTGCATCACCGAACAAACCCCTGCTTTGACACGTGCTGGCATCCAGTTTGATAAATGCACGACAGTTACAGAGCAACCTGTCGGAGGAGGACCCTGTGAGAAGGAAGAATTTAACTGACTCTGGATATTTCTACAGAAGTAACATTTCAAATCTGCTTAGCCCCATCCAGGAGAGGTGATTAACAGCTGGAGCTGGGCAACTGCAAAATAACTGCAAAAACATGCATTTTATTGCATTTAGTTGTTTCCCTCATTAATTAGGCTAGGGTGAAGATTGACGGGACTCTGTTTAGCTTCACATATCTATAAGAATAATGATAATTTGATCTGTGTTGCCTGCTCTCTTAATACCCAGGTCTGTATATAGCACTTGCTCAGCAGCAACACGGCAAAATGAACCTAATAGGTCATTAATATACAATATGACCTTAATATTACGTATGTAATATTACATTAATATTATAATATTAATATATTCTATAGTATAATAACTATTAATGCAGTTGTTATGCTTGCAAGTCCCTGGCAAGGTAAGGACCAGACTGTCCTAGACACCAAGTTAGATGCATAAGGGGTAGGAGACAGACAGAACGAGAAGGACTGAGTGTCCTTCTACTTCACATGTGCAATCCCAGGACACGGGGGGAACGTGGGACCAGCCCAGCGTGCCTGGGAAACCCGTGGCAGAGCCAGTGCAGCCACATGGTGCGAGTGCCACAGTCCTGCACCCATCAGATCACCCTTCCAATTTGCTGCGTATCACCACATTCTTAAATAAAAATGGCTAAAACAAAGCTAGCAATGCCCATGTGGTATACAGAAACAGCACAACATGTAGTCTACAACATGTAGGATGTAGTAACAAATTATTTAACAAATTGGTATAATTTCTTCCCAAGAAAGAATTATTAACTCAAAAAATTCCAATTTAAAGCTGAATGGAAAAAAAAATCAAACGTATTAGGGTACAGAAGGGCAGAGTCACCCTAAAATCCTTACCTCTGACATAACTGTGTATTACTGTGATAGAATGGGGTGTGTGTTTCATACCAATATACACGGAGTCTCTCCAGGCACTTTTATTACTAGATTACCAAAAGTGCTGCAGTATCAGTAATTCTCCACTGCAGCTTGAGAGCTTTGCCTAACAAATTAGGAATGAAAAATACATCTCGTGTGTGTTGTCACACAGTTGCATTAAGAGCGTAACAGTGGTGTATTTGGAAAATAAAATACTGAGCTGCTGACACTCCTGCACACTAACATTTAAAAATATTATGCTAGAATACATCATAAAGTATAAGCAAGAAAGCCAAATCCATACATGTTTTTAGAAACAAGTGTCCTGAGAAATTGAGTCAGTTTGTCCTGAAGACAATGTCAATCACATAGAAAATAATAATTCTTTTTCAAGAGCTAAGAAAGATCTGAACCTTATCAGAGACATTTTGTGATATCTTTTCACCTACTATTTACTCAATATTACAAATGAATGAGAAACTCTCATATTGCATCATACCTAGGGACAACTAGAAGCTGAACAGTGATGATCCCTCAGTCAAGCCTTTCATCATCAGGAGTATGGGCACACCTGAACCCAAAGTTCAGAAGTGAAAGACTGACTTGAGGTAAAAAGCTGCTTGCAATTAGCTATGTGAATGTGCCCCAAACACCAAACATTTTCATTCGTAATTTTACTGAATTAGAAAAAAAAAAATCACAGATGACTGTAGTATCTGTTATTCAAATCTGGTGTTCAATTCAAACACATAATAAGCTTTCTTTTTTATTTTCTAGGAGAAAGGTTTAAGGATTTCATCACATCCAGTGTGAGGAAAAGGATTATTGGAAGGGTAAGCAGAAACGATTAAATCTTCCTTTCCGTCACCTGCAGCCACAGGATGCAGTGATAGAGCTCTGCAAAACCAGGGCGGTTTGAACAGCAGGTGGCAATGTCACAATCTTTTAAGTACAAAATTTCACTAATTCAACAAACTAAAAGAAAATGTACTGCAGTATTAATATTTGCTTCATGGCACAAGCTCACCAATTCAGAGCATACTGTAAAATTAGACACAGTAAAACCGCATTGGTCTTTGCTAGCAAACAAAAGATCTGATCCAACTAAAAATTCATGAAGGAAAAAAAAAGTCAGCAAGAGCTCTTAAAACACCAAGATACTGAAGCAATCCTAGTCTCTTGTACACAATATATGCTATTTCATGCCCTTTCCTTGTGTTCTTTCCCCAAATATCTGCTGACTAGGCTACGGAGAGCTTTGGGCTGACCAGAAAACAGACGTTTTAATGTATGCACAAAGACTCTCTGTCTCTTTTTGTAAGCCAGTAAAAGGATGAAAAGGCTGAATAATCCAGCTGGGATGAAAATACAGTACAGAGAGGCCCCAAGCTGGAACAGAGACAATCATGGAGCAATTTGCTCCAACTTCCAAGCTGAATCTCACTCCAAAGTTTTATCTAACTTTGAAGATGCCACTAGTATGAGCCGGACACATGAGGTCCAGATGACGCCCAGCCTCCTTCCTACCCAAATTATTGCATATAGCATCTAAGTATCTAAGCACATAAGCACATCTCTCCCTAGCAGATCTTCCCTGTCGCCACCAGGAAGCAGCTGTGTGGTTTGCTGACGGGCGTAACTTCTCAAAAGCCAAGCAAATGTTGACAGATGGGGACTTCAGCTTTGTGAAGGCCAAACACAATATAAATAATGAAAAGAAAAAAAATATCTCTACTGACAAGCAGCAAATAAAACTGAAAACAATATTTATGATGTAGCTGTAACCAGTGAGTCAAAAAACATTCCAGATTGATAATTTGAGGGTATCTAAACAAATGGGCAAAGTCAGACTTAAGCCTGCTCCTTTCAACTACCCCTGAACAGACTCCATCAGTGCAGCTGAGTTAGGATGGCACACGGCCCCCGGAGTGTACCCTACACTGCTTTCAGAAAAATAAACGGGACAGATATTCCCTAAAAATAACTGAAAAAGGGAACACGAATACAGACATTGGGATAAACCCTCTATTAAGATGTGAAACAGAAAAGCACACACAAAAAAATCCCCACAAAATGAAACTTTTTCCTCCTACAGTTGCCCTTCAAAGTGATAAATCAGATGAAATTTCCCTGTTGATATTACTCTGTCATGCCACATTTTGTAAAGAGGCTATGAAGTCAGAAGGAAGCTACTTTAATTTAGAAAAAGCACTATTTTTTCTTTATTTCTTTCTACTTTCTCAAAACATTGGTGTTTTATTGGTGAGCACTACCAAGCAGCATCTCCAAGGTGGCACAGGACAGCGATTCCCAAAGATAATGTCTAATCACTCTGTCCAAAAAGCCCTAGCAGTTGTGACTACGATACTGCTGAGCATCACAATTCAGAACAACACAGGGCTCTAGTTTTAGTTTTATTTCTATAGATAGTATAGAACAGAGATTACCTGATTTTTGATAGGGTTAGATTATAAATTTGAATATACTGTATAATTTCATCTAACAGGCGATCTGTCATGGAATCAAAATCAGCAAAGGTATCATTCTGTAAAATAAAAGAAATAAGAAATAATAACCATTTTCTAATGCAGCAATATACCTTCTGCATTCAGTCTGAATTTTTATTCCCCAGTGTTTTGATCAACAACACACAAATAAAAGCATCCATATTAACTTCAAACAGAAACACTGCAGCTGGTTTTTCTCATTTCTTCAGTCTTTTTCTTGTGACATGAAGCAATAGATACATTTTATTGTAAGACTACTTTGTTCTAATACACCAAAGCAAATCTCAACATAGCAAACTGCCTTCCTTACTTCTACACCTCCTCATACACACAGTCTTATCTGTAGAAAAACAGAAGACCAAACTGCACACGCAAAACTAAATCACACCACCATGAAGGAGAAGTATGCGACAATTCCTCTAACAGTAGAAAGAGAGTCTATATTAGCACTGCTTAATTCAGAACTCCCTCTTTAAAAACACATCTGTCAATTCATAGCTGTTCTCCACAAGGATTAATAGGAAAAGATTAAAAAAGGGTAGGCAAAGAATGACAGAATGAAAGAATGACAACTTCTCATCACAATTCCCAGGAGCTGTGCTAAAACCTGTAGTGCTCAATACAGTTATAAATGATCTGGAAAAGGGAAGAAGGATTAACAAGATGCCAGAGTTGGCCGACGGCACCAAATCATTGAGGACAGTCAAGTCCAGTCCAGAATTTCAGCAGCATCTGAAACTGCAGCACTGCACGAGTGGGTGACCATAGGGCGAGGCTCAGACACACAACACAGTGTCACGTGGGAAAAACAGCCCTAAGTATATATGCCCATAATAATCTATCTACATGTAATATATATAGGTGTGGTTTATGCCCCACTATGTGAGGAAATCAAGGGAAAAACAGAAAATAGCGATACAGTATTTAATAAGCCCATTATGCAGAAGCATCTTAAAGCTTCTCAAAATTCCCCATCTTAAAAAAAAGAAAGTTTGGAAATGGGCAGAAAAGGGTATCATGAGCAAAAAACTCTTCCACTCGAGAGGAGACTGGAGGGACTAGATCTCTTCAATTCTCTCTCTCATTATACTTGTTTATAGAATGCTTGATGGAATTGAAAGGGAAAACGGGGAAAGATTACTGACTATCTTTCCCTCCCCCCAAACAAGCTGAAAGGGGATCAGCTGAAATTTCCTTGTTTGCAACAGAATTACTAATGCACCAATAACTGGGAAACACATCTCAACTGTGAAATCCAGAAGAACAAAACATTTGAAAAAGATTCTATGGGCCAGCATCAAGGAGAAAAATCCAGGCGCAGCTGCTAGGCTCAGTGGCCTCAGTGGGATTCCCAAGCCGGGAAGTCTCAGGAGAGACGGCAGAGACGGCCCAAGGCCACGAGGCGGCTCCCCAGGAGCGAGCGGAGCTCAGCGCCCGCCCGGGGCCACGGGAAGCTCCCGCCGGCTCAAAGACCCTCTTCTCTGCTCTAATGCTGCCCTCAAGGACAGCTAACGCAACATGCAGCCCAGAAAAAAAAATATATATATATATACATATATATAAAAGTGGGTCTTATGCTTTTTCAGGTTTATCTCATGTAAAAATAATACAGTTCACAAGAGTTTAAGACAGAGCCAATTTGATATTTGATTCAGTGTCATCCCCTGGATCTTGCAGTACAGTGACAAAAGAAAAGAGCAAGAGACTGGAATTTTGTATTTCTGAGGCCCTGTGAAATACACATCTGCCTTCTTCCCATACCAATTTCTACCATTAGCAGCCTGAAAGGGAGATAAAAATATTAAAATCAAGGGTATTTTATCTAAATTTCTAACTAGAGATGCTGAGAACTTGGAGGAATTCAGTACACACAACAAAACAGCAGCAACAAATGTTATTCATTATATATCGACCTTCAGCATGATACTAGGCATTGTAATTGCTGTGATACAAATGACAAATCAAATCACAGAACCTGTGAGACCGCTTATTTTTTATGAAATACATTTGAATCATCATTCCTTGCTAAAGGCAATAAAAACATACAGAATATGGTAAGCTGCAAGGCAATAATGCCACTATGTCTGAAAATATACACTGTTTATTGCTTTACAGAAATGCTTTTGTTGTTGGCAAATACCTGATTCCTCTCGGACATAAGAAAATCTATTCTCCCTCCAGGCAGCCCTAGCTCAATGTAAGTCTTCACTAATCTGAGATCTGCGCTGTTACCTTAAAAGGGAAAACAATCAAGAGTTAGAGACTGCAAAGTTAACTTGTGGTAAGAAATAAAGAGAATGATAAAATAACTTGACAGAACAGCTTTATATTTAAACATAGCTAATGATATTCTCACCCCTAATTAAAACTCATTGAGACCTGGGAAGATAAACTGCCATTGCAAACACAATGCGGAGAAAAAGAAAGTCTGGCAAAATGTCATTGAACTCAGCCACCACTTAAAAAAGCGAGGATTTAGCAAATCATGTTTGATGATTTTGTCTTAGCACCCAATAGATACATACATAGCACTGTGAACATTAAATACTTGAAAACCTAATTAGCTTTTACCAAAAGACAATTAAAGCACTCTGAGTTAATGCAAAGATTTTAGTGAGAGGCAAGGAATAAGGTCACACCAGGAAGGTTTTCATAGAGTAAAAGTCCAAGTGGACTGTCAGCAGGTCAGGATCCATGAAGATACACAAGACAACTGAAGCTCGTTGAGCAGCCTCGTCAGATTCCCCTGCTGCAACGGCCACAGGCACCTTCTGGGTTATAAGGAGGAGAGATCCCACATTCACCATCTAAAGCTCTGTGAGATTGCCAGGGATCTTACAAGAATGTATCCTTGATTAGGAGAACAAAGCTCTTAATTAAATCAGCTCTTAATAACTGATTAATAACTATTATTATATATATAACTTCTATTAATAACTGGTTAAATGAGAATTCTCCACTTCATAAAAAAATCTCACTCAATGTATGGACTGATTAAACGATGGTTTTTATGACTATTGAGCATTTTGTGCTCAATTGTACTTTGTATCAGCTCTTGGCACCCAGCAGCATCTGAACACCTATACTGGTAGGAAGGGACATTTCTGAGATCAGTGTTAAAAGTGCTTAACAGTGGGAGAGCTTTTTAATTTGATTTTAGATTGGAAATTCAAAAGATGAACAAGGAATTCCTGCAGAGTTGGTCCAGTCCAATGTTCTATATATTGCTCTGTTGCATTCCCTTACATTGTTCGTTTGAAAAGCTTCACAGAAAGAAACAAAAGTGCTGATGGTAGGAAACCATGAAAACATCCTAGCCAGAGGGGCTATCACTTCTCAGCAAGCACACATGCTTTAAACTAAAAGAAGGTGAATATATTCAAGCTGGATAAATTTTCCCATCTTATTTCTTTCAGCAAGGGCTTTTCTCCTCTCTCCTATAGCAGTCTCTCCATCCTTGGAGATACTATAGGCTCTACTGGACGTGGTCCTGGGCAGCCAGCTCTGGTTGCTCCTGCTTCGAGCAGGGTGACCACTAGGCAGTCACCACAGCCATAACCAACCTCAACCAGGCTGTGATTCTATGACAGAGTCATCTTAACATTTTCAAACCTAATCCGTGACTGCAATAACGTTTAATTTTACATGTATCTTTCTATGAGGACAATTCCACAGACACTCTTTTCCTTGACAATGTAACACTATAAATTTTAAGTGAAACTGTATTATTAACTCTTGTCTATTACCAAGGTATGGGAAATTATGTCATAGAAACTGGAAGATATATCTAATTTGAACTATGACAGGAATTGAGTTCATGGAAGCTTTGAGAGAAATGGTACATAAAATTCTTAATTTAACTTAAATGATTTCATGAAATAAATTGTTAAAGGTAGCCCTACAAAATCATTTCCTACTAGTGAACTTATTTCAGCGAGGCTTAGCTCAGAGTTCAAATGACAAGGACGGGAAGCCTGAACTGCTGTCCCACGCAGTACCAGCTTTCCCTGCATACCATCCAGGCCGTGGACGCAGACTATGAGATGTATTCCATCCTCTGAACAGTCATCCTCTTCCATACTAAAATAAGGTATTGAAGAAGCCAGTTTGAAAACATCACTATACATAAATCCAGGAAGTTTAAGTTGCTTCAGTTCTTCTTTGGCCTGGAGGAAACTGAAACAGAACAATATTTATGATAAAACATTTGCTATCCTATTGGCAGACAAATGTAAGGGTCTCCCTAAGGTAGAGTTTTCTACTGCCTTTTTGCTCTTGCAATTTAATTGGTATGAAGAAAAAATATTTGTCAAATTACTGAAGAACCTTTTCTCCTATATTTTCTCCACTCTCTTCTCCTTTAAAAAAGTCTCTGCAAGCTGTGAAGTATTTCTGAAGCCACTGAAGATTTTGATTTAGCTCTAGTCTCGAGCAGCTTTGCTCAAAGGCAGCACTGACAAAATTACATGAAAAAATTACAATGGATCTGAAACCAAGTGTTGATTTTCGGTAACTCCTGCCAAACTTGAAACTTGTTTCTGGGTCAGCAGGGAGCTGAACACAAGGGTGTAGCTGCTCACCAGAAAGTCTTTCTGATAGATTGAACAACTCATATTTGCTTCAAAAGAAGCCAGAGTCAGACCTCTGATCTGTGACATATCATCTCAGGGCTTGTGCTAAAACGGTTGCAAACAGCAGGGCCATGAACATGCCACAAGTTCCTGGATTCCGGCTTTCCTTCCCCGCCCCACTGTTTCTTTGAGGACCTTCCTAGCATAATCAATCGTATTTCAGAGATTTTTTTCCAACTCTTCTCACTTTTGTTTCAAGACAAAAGTTTAATGGTTCCTTATGACCCTTCCCTCCTTATTCCATCTGTTCTGCATGATCCCACAGAGCATCACCCTGCATCCCATCCTCCTCAGCAACCCCAGTCTTATCTTCCCACCATTCTACTCTTTCTTCGCTGTTTTCCCAGGTTTTTCTTTATTTCATTCCTCAGTTAGTCTGAAAATCTCATCTTAAACAGGTCTTATGGCTATATGTTGGTCTCCAAACTAGTTCTCTAAAGCAACTCCTGCCCTCTGGAATTACAATTATCCCTCACTCCAAGAGACATGGCTTTCCCCAAAGCCAAGTCCCTGATTTCATTCCCAACGAGTTCCCCCTTTCTTTCATCTTTACAAGACACCCTAAAGATTCTCTGCTTTTCATCCCTCCTATTCCACACCACTACCCACCTTCTGCTCCCCATTTTCTATAACTTCAGGAGCTGCATTTTTGTCCTCTCACTTCTATTCCTGTTTTCTTCCATCATTCTTGCTCCTGTTCTCAACTGCTTTCCCCAGGTTCTCTCATCTTCCTATCTCTTCCATCTGCTTAATTTTCTCCTCATTTCTCCCAGCAAAGTTTTCTTTTTTCTGATAGCAACATGGTACTTCCATTGCAACACACTGAACTGCCCCTTCCCGTGTTCAGCTAGTAGCAGGAGGTGTCAAGGGAAATGCCTCTGTTTACAGTTAGAGGAGGTACAATCTGGAATTCCTGATGTTCTTCTACATTTAGCTTTTCTGGTATACAAACTGCAGTGTAATTGGGAGTACCCTGGTCTTTCAGGTGTTATATTTTGGATATTTACATTGAGATGAAAAAAATAAGGCCATCAACCTGGCCAGCATCATGCACCGTTTCACTTAACCAGTTGGAATAGAAAACAAGTTACAGGGCTTTTTTGCTTTTTCAGTTTTAAAACAAAACTGTGTTTTCCTATACTTACTGTTTCCATTAACTTCCATTTCATAAAACAACATTTTCATGCTCAGAAGCTGTCACTATATTATTTTGGGGTGAATGCTTATTTTTAAGAAAGAACATATTAGAGAAGCAAAACCTTTCTGTTTTGCTTGGAGTATATCAAATCACATGAAATTACAGGGTAACAGCTGAAAGGAAATCTGTGCTAGCACCTTCTACCTGAACATCTAAAACACGATGCAAGCGGAGCGTGCAGGGTCTACAAGTGACAATTTTGCGTGCACTTTGGAGCCTAGCCATGCCTCTTTCCCCCTCCCACACATCATTACCAGCATTTCTGAACGTGAGCAGACCCTGTTGGAAGCAGCCGCACTTACGCCAGCATCTGAGGCTTGGGGGAGCTGTCGTACCAGGGCAGGGCGGACGCGGAGCCGCAGGAGGTGTCGCCCGGCTGCTGCGTGATGGCGGCAGGGTGGGCGCCGGGCGGGCGGCCGGCGCTGCGCGGGGAGCCCCTCAGTGAAATATTGTAGTCCGCCTCTTCGTAATACCCGTTCTCAATCATTTCCTGATCCTCCTCATCCTCCTCGTCTTGTTGGGAAGGGCAAATTGCTTGTTTTTCGTATGTTTCCTTTTGAGGGGTAATAGGATTGCTGTTGTCCGTTGGCCAAATATCTGAAATATCTGTGCTGCTTTGCGAGCCAAAATAGTCTTCTACAAGCCCTTGTTTTACTATATCAGTACTACTGGTTGGAGAAAGATTGTCTGCACCAGTTTCACTTTTAACTACTAACAATTGTTCGGTCGTCTCTTGTACTTCTGCGGTTTCATTATGTTTCTCTTCGCTGTGTTTGTCAAGCTCACACTCCGCGCTCGTGGATGAACAACCTAACACAACAGATGGCTCAGCCATGTGAGGAGCTTCCAAATGCAACTTAGCTGTTTCTGCTGTAGTGTTATGATGCTTCTCAAGGTCCTCAGAGTCCTTAGAAGTTGTGGAAAGGTTTGCCTCAGGGCCATAACTTCTCCTATTAGTAGATGTATCTTCATCTGAAACAGCCAAGTCCAAAAGACCTTTTGTGCCTGAATGTGAGGAATGTATAGGCAGAGTTTCATTATTTGGAAATACAACACACTGTTGCTGCAAATTGGTGTCTGTTTTTTTACTGTCCTCACATTTTGTTATGTCAATTGCTCCAAGGTCCAATACAGTTTTGCTGTCACTTAGCTGACATTCAGGTACAATAGATATCTTTGAATTTTCATCAGGTGACAGCTCATCATCATCATCTGAAGGCAGCGAATTTATGGATGTCAGGGATGATTGTATTTCACTTACAGCACTGGTACTCTCAGTACAATGGCTCTCTACTGCATTTTTTATAGCATAGTCTGGCTTTAGTAAAAGCTGAGGAAATAATCTCTCACTATTGTATGCACTTTGCCCTTGAACATTTTCAAAAACCTGATCAGGGTTGGGGTGTGTTGCAAAAGAGCTTGGTTCACTTTCCACACCTGAATCTGAAAACCGAGAAGAGGCACATGTCACATTAACGTCCGGCAATTTAGTCACGTCTCCACTCAGAGAAGCTTGAGTTTCTTTTGCAGAAAGGACAGGCTGACAACTTCTTATTCTTGTAGGGACAACACAGGTATGTTGCAGATTTCTTTCATGGACATCTTCTTTCTCAAATACTTGTTCCTGTTCTCCTGAGTTCAGTTTATTTCCAGATTCCGAAGCCTGGATATTGGGTGTCTGCAGATTCCCTCCTGGCACTCCATCTTGGGGAAACTCAGCCCACGATCCAATGTGAACAGCCACCTTCTCCCCTTCATAAGGATCCTTATCGCTGGGTTTGACCTCAATCGTCCTGACGCCCGATGAAGCTGCCTGACCTCCATGACAAGCGTCAAGCGAAGCCCCGGGCTCCAGAGCACCCTCTGCTTCCCTAACTCCAGGACCTGCCTGGGGGCTACTAAGTCCACCAAAAACAGTCACGTTTGTGCAGTGAGAATTCCCCGGGCTACCTTGACTGGCCTGAGCGCTTTCCGTCTCGGCTGCCTTTTGCTCAGTTCTAGCTGGCAAGCAGGTAGCCTCGGGCTGGCTCGCCGGGCTGGCGCAGCTCGTGGTGTCCCCAGGGAACGCAGCGGCCAAGCACTTGTAGCCTACTAAGACCACAGAGTCCTTAGAGTTCTGCTTCACAATTCTTTTTGTGTTTTCGGGTTTCATTGTTTTCATAAGCTTCGTAACCTTAACTTTGGATTTATTTGCATCTTCATTTCTCCCTTTCAACGATTTTGCTAGCAGCTTTTCACTGTCTGAATGCCAAAGGTTGGAGGCACCTGCAGGTCTTATTTTCAATTCTGGGCTAGTAAAACCAGCTACAAAACCTTCTTCAGCATCAAATTTATCCAGTTTATTGGACTCTGACCTTGGAAGATTCTGAACTACCAACCAGGGTACATCCAGATCTTTTATCAAAAAAAAGTGAGAAAAAAGTATTGTTTACAACAAGATTATGCAAATAACTGCAACTATAACATAATTAATTACAGAACAATAGAAATCTTTTAGAAATAGAGAAACACTTCCCAGAAAATAAATACACTCTGTCATAGCCAGGAAGAAACAAAGAAACACACTCAACTTTTTCATAATTTTTGCTCCTATCTCCAAAGAGAAAACTGCAGTGAGGTCTGTTTACCTTCAGTGATTGAATCTAAATACCGATCTTCAAAGATTATAGGTAAGGAGTTCATATCTCCATCTAGTTCACTGCATTCAATAGGGAGGGGTGGAAGAGAACTGCAGAAGGAAGTATTTTTGATAGCTGCACACATTTGCAGATGACTTTGAGCACTGAAAGAAAAAAAAGTAGTCCTACATGACAAAACGCGATTGTTCATAACTGCATCAGTAGAACTTAGTAGCACTTGAACTCACTTTAGGAAAATGTTTTTTGCTAATTCCTTATTTAATAAGATACATTTGAATTTCACTGCCCTAACTTCTTACATACCTTCATTAAAAACTTCAAATGCATATTCAGATCATTTCCTACTGGATTTGTTACATAAGAATTTCTAGAAGATATTACTTTTACACAGCATAAGCTGAGGAATAAATGCTGCTAGGTGATATATGTGTGTGTGTGTGTGTGTGTGAGTGTGTACACGTCGAGAGGCTACTCACTGTAGTTCCTGATAAGCCAGGGCAGCTTGCCTGGGATGCTCGAGGCAAAAGAAAGCCTCCGCAAATCTGCGCACCTGCAAGATCCGAAGGAAGTTAGAGCTGATTATTGCAAGAATTTTTGAAAATTTTCCAGTATTTCCACATCTCAATGTTACTAACTTGCATGGATTATACAGTTTTTTTTTATAAATGTCCAGTCCAGAAGTGTATGGGAGTAGATGCCATGAAAAAGGCTATCAACTGAAACCAGAATTTTAACTTATGCCCTGGATGACAGAGGAAACTACATTAGACTCAATTGACTGCTGAAAACTCAATTACAAAGAAATGAATCAAAGAAACAAGGCTCATCTGGAACATAAATATGCAAAAATATTAAGAGAAATTCAAGGAAAGGAAATGAAATTACTGTGTGCTGGACATTTCTGAATGTGCTTGAGAATTGTCTTCAGAAGAAAAAAACCCATTTCAGATATTCTCCAGTCCCAGAACCCCAAGAAGTCTGTGTTTCAAACCTCCCATGAATACTTTATAGCCCCCAGGTGAACTCTAAGGTAAAAAGAAAAAGATCATTTACTGTGAAGATTTCAGCTGCAATTCATAGAGACAGTAACAAAACATAAGCTAATTACAAGTGCCGTACTTGGGACTTAACTACATGTCCAGGGTTAATAAAATCACAATATTAAAACAGTATCTTAAACACAGAGGGCATATTCTTATCTAATACATCTTATATAATATAAGCTGAAGTTTTGCAAGACAGGGTTTTCTACATTTTAATCAGTACATAACATTAATTTAATCTGAATGTTTTTAATCAGATTTTTAAAGCAATTGATCATTATGATGACTGACAGTCAGCCTGAAGAACCTAAAAAATAATTAAAAGATCCCAATCAACTGTGTAACAGGAAATATTTCCTAATTAGGAGATATTTCTGTGACCCTAGATCAAGAATAGCATAAAAGATGTGTTTGAATTTAGCTGCAATCAGTCACTTCATCTTGTAAAGTAACTGGAATTATTATTCAGAGAACTTCACACTTGTGCCACTGACTGCCTAGAAAAAGGCTTTTTTTTTTTCCATTTGCTGTCCACGCTATTTGTAACTGTTCAAACAATTCCAGTATTTTCGGCAAAAATCCGAGTCCCGGCTCCAGGGAGCTCTCAGGACAACGGCAAAGGTGTGACACCAGCTGAAAGCCAGCCCAGGACCGCTCCAAATGCCCAGATAAATCCATACTATAAAGGGGAAAAATAAATCAATCCATATATTCTCACTACATCCTAGGAACTACCAAGGTGAAAGGAACGATTTTGGAATATCATGCCCCGACCTACCAGAAGATGTCACTATGGAATAAGCACCTTGGATGAGCCAATTTAGCATGACAAAGTTTTGTAATATTAACATTACACATCTCAAATAGTTTTTTCAGTAGTTGAAAACTTTAGTATTAGGGGGATATTACAGAAGACAGATGTTCTAGTAGGCCTAAAATTTTACAGCTTTTTATGGAGCAATTAAAATCTGTTACAGCATTTTATAGAGGAGATGTACTCCTCTATAAGTGCTTGTAAGTTCTTTAAAATACACTTTTTCATTATATCCTTATTTTCTAAATACACTTCAGAGAAAAAAAAATACAGCTGTTTTACAAGTATCTAAAAGTAACGCACAGGGGGGCGATAGTCATTTGGCCAAGTGCTGACAGCAGATACTTGTAGGGAGCGACTTTACTATAAACCTCTAAACCAGTCAGACAAATACATTTAGAAGTGTCTGTTTCTCTTAGACTTTCATACAAGACTTTCCCAGGGAGAGTCTCCTGTAAAAAGCATAGACTACGGGAATTGTAAGGTGAAATGGTAAAACTAAGAGATATTTAGCATTCAGTAGAGAACACAACAGAAAATCTACCTAAAGTTAAATAATGTAGATAAAGTAACTGCAGAATTCAAAAAAAATCACTAGTAAACACTTCTTTTTCAAAAACAAAGGTCAACTTTTTCAGTTGTAACAAGGGTCACCGTTGAGCCCAGAGGAACTCAGCATCCCTCAACAGCGAGCCACACCGAGGACCATGAAGATTCTTCAACCTCCCATCATTACACTGTGAGTGTGGGTTCATACCCCCAGAAAAGAATATTTCTACACTTCTGATGAAAGAACAAATTTGTTAAGTTTAAATTATGGGAGTATGGAAGTACTTGGGAAAAAAATGCAGGCATGAAACCAAGTGATAGATTTTTTTAAAGACAGGGAGGAAGGGGCCTTCTATTTTTGGAAAACTGGAAGGCATCAAGGAAGTACTTTTAATATGCATGATGCCTCAATTCACTCAGTGTAATTAACCACTTCCCTTTATAGCCCTTAAAACAACTTCAACGAAATACAATTTTTAAGGTATTTGAGAGCTAGAGATTGAATTAAAACAGAAAACAGAGCACTTAAAGGGAGGCACATTCAAGAAACTGTGTGATGTGCACCTCATCACCCAATATAACAGCAGGACCAGCAAAAAATAAAATATAAAAGCATGTTCTTTTAAGGAATCCTGAATTCTCACGGACAGCATGCAGTAATAAGATCATAGATGGACAGCAGAATGATCACAGGCTAGAATGATCACAGCCCAAGCTAACAAATAACTGTTTCCGAAAGATTTCGTTTGTCCTCCGGGTTAAGCCACAAACCCTCATTAACAACATGGTTTATCAAGTCTTTATGGTTAAGACCATGGTCCATCCTGTCTAGAATCCAGAGAGAAAGGTTTTTGATGAGGGTCACAGAAGTACAGGTTAGACCAATCAAATCTTTAAGAACTAATTTAAACAGATTTTAGACTGTAGCACTACTGTCAGTTATTCTCATTAACTCGACAAAGCAACAACCTCTCTGCAAACAGCTTTAGAAGAAGCTCTTAAGCTCTTAAAGATGACCTTTTTTATTATATGTTGTGATAAATGCATGGGTTGTGATCTCAGACAGCAAAGATGCCAGGCCAGCTGAAATTCAAGCTGTGTTTTGGGAGATTTTTTTCTGTTGTTCTTTTCTGTTTTAATGAATCCCACTCTATGAAAACCTTACAATGTCAGGTTTGTTCATATTTTTGATAACAAAAGAAGGGAAGAAAAAAAGTATTTATTAAGAGATGAAAGGACAGCTTTAGCCAATACTTGAAAACAGTTCACTCTGAGAATCAGCACTGCTGTGATTTTGTCTAGACCTACAAAACCTGCATAAACATGCATATGTAAAAAAAGATCAACTCTGTGTGTGTGTGTGTGTATGTGTGTGTGTGTAGTTACTCACCACATGTACATATGTTCACATCTCAGATGATTTTTCATTTTTAAATCCTACTTAAAGTGTCCCTTCAGAGTTTACAAATGCTATAAATTCTTGAATCAGAAGTAAAATACACTTAATTTTGGAACTTGAGCAGATAGCCTACACGTAGCAGGGAAGTAAAATGAGCAAGCACTAAGCATGCCACTAGAATAAAAATATACTGTTCTACACAAATACTTCTTGTGCCATAGCCCACGCTTTGCTTCTGAACTGCACTTTTTATTCAGAAGCTCAATGAATTAGTTGGTTTGTATTTTATGTATTATATTCCAAGAATAAGCTCTATTTGAAATCTCATTTTGACACATAGTTCCATAACAGTGTGATATGCTCTTTATAATACCAGAGTCAATGCTCACCCTTAAGGTGTGATGTTCCTGTGCTAGCAATGCGGTGACTTCCTCTTGCAAGGCAATGACCTCCAGAAATTGCCCCCAGAGAGCCATGAGAAGTGAGCACAGCTGAGCAAGGTTCATATTTATAAGTTCTGCCAGTTCATCAGGATTTTCCATTTTCTGAAATTTGAGGGAAAAAAAAATATTTACACAATTGCAGCCCACAACGTACAGACACAGGAACAGAAAGCAGGAAACAGACAACCAATACAAAAGGCACCAGTTGCAATTTGATGCGATCTTAAAAGTTTCTTTTCAAAAGGAGACATTTCCATTTCAGAACAGTCACAATCGACTATAACATTTATATAGACCTAAACATCCAGATGACACTATCCAGCTATGTCTACGCACACTTTAAACATCCCGGGGGACCAGTGTCATACTATAGGCTTCTTAGAACCAGATCACACAAAGATAAACCCAGCGTGAAAGAAGCTTTTTCCTTCAGAAATGTACTGCAGCCTGGGATGTAGCTCTCTGTAAATCAGTGGTGGACAGCTAGGCTTTTATTTCCTGCCATGTAAATTTTCAGAAAGTAATTACAAGCACATAAAGCATTGACACAAAGGCTTTTAGAATTTTTAAGAGTAAGGATAGTAAAGACCCAACTTCAGCAATTTTTAAGAGGAAGTAGCAAGAAGGATAACAAATATTGAGATATCAACTTAGCAGGAGAGTGTGGAAGTAAGGTGCGGAGGGACGCATGAGGAGAACCACATAAAAGAAGGGAGAAAAAAAGGAATAGCACAAAAACACAGCTGAGTAAGTTGAGAGAGAAGCTAAAGAAGAAAAATGATCATAGCTCACGAAATAACTCACATTGAAACATAGAAAGCTTATAACATGTAAAGTAAGATCACCAGTTGCCCGCAGAGGCCGAGTGTGCTGGTGCTGACTCCAGCTACCCAAAGGCTGCCCTCGTGCAGCGGGTTCTGCCTGTCCCTGCCCTGCACTGGTGCTGCCCGGCAGGAGGGGAGCGCAGCGCGCCCCGGCACCCACCAAAACTCCCCAACCTGCCCCCCGAGCCTCTGCGGCAACAAGGCAACTCACTAGCTCCTCCGCTGAGGCCAGTTCTTCTCACTGCCGCACGTGAAGGACAGAGTTGGGGAGAAAAATGTAAGAAAACTAAAGCTCTTCCTTGAGACTGTTGGGAAAAGAGAGCAAGCGTGGGTACGAGTCTCTTCCAGTCAGGGTGACACGCCTGGGGAAAACGCTCACGTACAGCTTGCTTACACGACTGCTGGATTTTACAATGCCATGAGATGACAGGATCATAAAAGGAGGAATTCAAACGATGAACACAGAAAACTCAAAACGCAAGCTCATGCAACGCCACGGCTGACATGGCAGCATGCCACGCGAGCAGTCGCGTGCTGAAGCTGAGCGACTCTTTGGGTGGGAAACCATTGAAAGAAACATTGGCAAAAAAATACATAGAAGTGATTACTGAAACAGAAATCTATTCACAAGTAAGATCAGCATCCTCCAATTTTGTAGTTAGAAAGAAAAGAGTACCTTTACTTCTTCACACAGTTCTGTAAGACGGACTTCTACATCTATGTTTTCTGGAAAGACGAGAGATGCATACACGTGAAAAATGTATTGCTCACAGTGCAGAGTAAAAATAGTCATCTATTTAACAGATATTACAGATTTATATATTATTTATCATTATCAAATTATAGAATTTAAACACATATTAAAAAGAAATGAGACCATCAAATAGAATGGGATACCATTCTACGTTTCACAGTGAACTTGAAATCCTGTACATTTTAAACTCGTTAGATTGTTTCTTATTAATTGCTGAGGTAGAGGACAGAACACAATTAACTAAAATTGGTTTTATTTACCTGATATGTGATCTAAGCTACCAACATGCAGAAAAATACAGTTGCTTAATTGTATGAGGAATTGTACTTTGGTCAAAAACTGTTGTTTATGTAATACTTAACTACTGAAAGGATGATTAAGAATAACTTAATCTTCCATAATATGGTAGCTTAAATTAGATCACACCCTGGAATAATTTATGAAAAAAATGGATTTCTTCATTTACATTGAACGTTTCTCCTTGCCACCCATTCGAATTCTACTCAAGCAACTCCGATTTATTAAATGTTAATTTAAAACTATAATTTGATTTCCGTCTTTACTTGAGGTACGAGTAAAGAAACAATAATTTATAAACCCTAAAACTGTTTGTGACAAATATTTTAATTAATTTTTGAAATACAGTATTAAGGATAAAACCATAATATTTCTTAACACACAAAACATGTTTCCAATCCCACAAAAAAATTAAATATGGATAAAGAGCATAGGTTTATAGAGTGGCAACAGCATTTTCACTCAATTTACCTTTGAAAGATACCACCTAGGCATAGTGGCTATGTACTGATTTTCAAATAATTTCTACTGTACTTATTGCCATTATACTTAATATCAAACAAATTATCTCGCTGAAAGTCCTGAGAAAACATGCAACTTGGAGAAATGCACAAAGTGCTCAGAAACAAGATTAGAAATCTGTTCACTAAATCATGCTTGAAGATAATTATTCTGAAAAAACGATGAAAACTGTTTAAGATCCAATAATTCGGTTGTGTTTGCAGCCGCACAATTTTTGTCACTGAAAACATTAAATGGCTTATTTACCAGAGCCAGGATTGAATATTTATCTTTACTGTCAAACTGCAGTTGGTGATGGATTTTGACCAACAGTTAAAACTCTGAGGTCTCAAATCAGTATAGAAAACCCCAAACGAAAATGTTCTTAATAAAAAATGACAGAATACAGATCATGCAGGGCAAAAGGTGAAAGGAAATTTAATATTAACCTTCCATAGCAGCAATGTTCAGCCAGCAAACACGTGATGCAATTTTACTGGCCTTGTTTCTTTAACCAAAAAGATGATGCAGCTAAATATGATCACGCTTGTCACCTACTATGACTCTGAACTGCCAGTTTTGTCTTTCCCGTCATAAACTGCCAAGTGATGAGCAACATCATTTGGCCAGTATCAGAGCAGCAGTGACACTGTCCAAAGGGAGAGCTCTCCTTTTAGACATGGACAGCTGCAACTTAAGCCTTGAGAAGGTCTTGTGCACTGTTTGGGAGCAACCTAAGGCATCCTGAAAGATGTTTCAAGTGAAAAAAAAAAAAAAAAGTCTTTTATAATTGAGAGGTGAGTCTGCAAGGAATAACCAGAAACTACCCTTTTTAGTTGGTTATTTAAATAGTGACAGCTTACTAAACTCTTCAATCATTTCTGTTTAGTAAAACAGGACAACAAAAATAAAACAACACTGAACCAAGAAAACAGTAAAAATTTCTCATTTCACTATCTATATTCAGCATAGATGCAAGCAGCTCAACTCCACAAACTTCAGAGTTTAACATACTTTCACTATGGCTGAATACAGAGGATTTTCTTCTCCTGTTTACATATAAAAATAGTTTATATAATAAATAAAGATCTGAGGGGTTATATCACCTGCTTTGTAAACATACCTAGGTAGGCGTCTCTCTGGGCTCGTGGATATTTTCTTCTGAGAAGGCGTTCATAAAGGACCTGCATGCTGGCCTTGGCTAGTTACAAGGATTGCATACACATGACTAGTTACTAACCTCCTTTTTTCATCTGTGATTTATTATTTGCCTTAAAGTTAGTATAAAGAAAAGCTTATTGCTAGCCTAGCAATTAGTGCAGTTAGATCATAACGGTAAAGCATAGAATTTGTGTAGTTTCTAGATTAGGTTTTATTCATGATGTACATTATGCTCATTTGTTTTGCTGTTTATTTCCTGAAACCAGTAATATCTAAATGCTCAGTTAAGTTACAGAGTTCTTTGCCTCTGCAAAATCACTGTGCTTTCTTCAAAATGTGAGGTAGTTTAAACTGAGTTGAAATGTACATCATAAAATTGGACAAAGAGAAGAAACAAAAATCAAATGGATAATTTATTTAAAACACAAAAAAGACATGATTTTGAGATTTAAACAGAACTTGAGATTCCCTTCCCCAAAATCCATTTAAATTTCATGTATAAGACTTCCCAAATGAAATAATGCATTTATTTCAAAAATTAAATATAAGGGACCACAGCTGTATATCTTGTGAAGTCCAGAGTACTTCAGTTTTTTTGGTATACATTACAGAAACATGCTTTTTTTTTTTCCATTGCTGATGGATTTTAAAGAAAGTACTCAAAGTAATGGTAAGTATTGGTTATTTGCCATAAGCAAAAGGTGAGCAAAAATAGCTTAATTAATATTTTAGTTCCTTTTGTTATATCAGTTGTCCCAGTCAACATGCATACATCATAACTGAAATAAATTTTAAAAGATTCATAAATAAGAAAATAAGTTACAGCAGAAATTGAAAAGATTTTGAAAAAAATAGGAAACAAACTGTCAGCAAAGTATGTACAGTGTATGTCAAATGTAATTACAAATATTCACATCCCTCAATCTATTGTTCAAATTTGCATTTCCTTAAGGTAAGCTAAAGTACTCACAGAAATCACTAATGGTTTGACTCAAGTTCCACTGAGGCTTATGAAAATCTCTCTGTTGACTTCAGTGAGGCTTGAAGGGTACCAGCCAGCTATGAAATTCAATTACTTGCATCTTTCTTTTACATATATTTTGTAAGAATGTTTTACAAAATGTAAACTCCTATCTGAAACATTTAAGTAGCAAGATTTAGCCTCAGCCTGTCTTTACAATGGCCATAAAACCAACAGATACTATTTGGCAAAAAGGGCATTTTGTCATTAAAAGGAAGACTAAGAGTTGAATCATTCATGTAACATGGCAGTCCCTCCCCTCCATACTGAATTAAGATGACTGAGAGAAAAATATTCTTTGCACCACAACCAACACAGTATTTTTGCTGCTATAGAGAAAAAGCCTCAGTTTTTACATTAATGGTATGTGCAATTTATGTGGAGATTTTTAGTATCCTTCCTCCAAAAACTCCCTTCCAGGAATGGGTTGTTATTTTTGAATGTGTGTGTGAAATATGCTTTGTTCTGATCGGTAACTGGCTGCTATGTCATCTCCTGCCATGTACCTCCATTCTCCTGTCTTATAAACTAGTGCTAATTTTGATATTGTTGAAATTACATAAATTACGTATATTACACAATATTCTAATCTACTGTCTACAGTTGATGTAAATTCTGAAAGACCTGCCTGGTCTCTGGATTTAAGTAAAATTTCATATTACACAAAGAGAATATGTTTGTTGGGAAAAAAAAAAAAGGCCCAGCCGGTCCTTTCTCATGCCAATGCGTTCTCCTTTTTATTTATACTACTCTCCTCATCTGCAAGTTGAAAGCAGACTCACTAACACACCAGGATTCTATGGAAATGAATTTAATGGAGTATTTTCACAACTATTTTTATAAAATAAGGTTCATTCAAGTAACTAGGAGTCTTCACAGCCATAGAATTTATAACTTAAGTTTCCTTCTATGAAGCTGTTCTGTAAGAGTTTAATTTTATTAAAAAAATAGCTGCTCTGAAAGCATATTTTAACTACTCAGTTTTATAGAAACAGTTCTTCTATATTCAGATTGCTTTTCCTAATTCTCAGGTAATGAAGCCATTGGTCTACTGGTCAGTTTAAAGGTTACACTGCAGATCGAATCAGCAGCAATTTTTTCTTGTAGGTCTTGTTTTCAGATAAGTTCCCAGTGCAATATTCTTCTCAAATCTGAGCTTACCAAATTTCATTTTTAAACGATTATACATTGCTTCCTTGCAACTTACAACCAAGTACAGCATGCTTTTCTAGACTCCTTCTTCCAAATTCTCACCGCTAAAACCCATTATTTGAAAAACAGGCTAAATCTTAAAACAAAGATCTACAAGAAAAAAATATTTGTATAAATTCAGACTGTTATCTCACTATTTCATTAGTGGGGTGACGTTATTTTTTCCCCTCTATGAGTTATTAAGTTCCAGTTTCATTTGAGCAAACAAACTGTAGGTATATAAGATGTGCAAAATTAACAGTATTTCAGCCTAGAAGAGGAGACATTTGTAATAAATACTGAAAGAAAAGCGATGCATTTTATTATATTCAACGTACCCAGTTCAATTCGGTGGGAAGAGGGGAGCTCCTTTGTTATCATAATGAAATAGCTATGTAACCCTTTGAAAGCAAGCAGCAAACTGGCACAAAGTGTGTAGTGGAAATTATAGGCATGATTGAGGAAAGACTCTGAAACCACAAAACTGCAACCCTAAAAAAAAAAAAAAAACACATATTAATTTCATACCATAAGTGAAGCATTGACAGAATAAAATGGACTTTTCAATTGATTGCAGTATATTAGAAAAAAGGTAAAACACTAAATATTTTAAGTTTTCCATCTACATGATCCTGAAATGTAACATAACCTTTTGGAACAATTTTTCTCTCTTGAAAAGAGCCAAGTACCTCCAAAATTCAATCTTAATCAGACAGTATTTCTGCAAAAATGTAAAAATCCATGCTAACTAATACAATATAAATAATATGTTTAACTGACACATGCTTACATCTGCTGATAACTGTTTTGTGTAGTTATTGCCAAAGACCACACTTTCAAGGGAAGGAATCACAGAGTCCCTGTTTTGTGCTGGTGCATTCCTGTTCAACCATGTATTCTTCACAGGGCGAGGAAAGCTGTAAGAGATACCCACATCTTCAGAAATATAAGTGAACCAAACAATTCTAACATACTGTGTATCACAAATCTGTCACAATTAGAAAAATTCTTAGTATTTCTTTGAAAAAACATGCCAAAACACCGATTCTCAATAATATGCTGAAAGCACCCAGGCTAGTAGTACTGTCCTTCTAAAGTAGGACTTGTAAAGCAGCTGTCTTCAAAGAGCATCTCCAGGTAGACAGAGCAATTTAAGTTACCACCCTCAACTGTTTTGCTGCCATCACTTACCACAAAGGCCAGCAGGCTCTGTGCCAGGAGACTTTTAATGCAGAACTCAAATAATTTAAACAACATTCCGGAAAGTTTAAGCCAAACAGCCAGATTTTTAATTATAACAGGTAAGAAGCACTCATCTTCTGCCAACTTTGCTGTGAGGATATTAGGTCCTAAAGGTGAACGAGTAGCAAAACCCTTGAAGAGGTGTCGCACAAACTGTGGCTGATGATTTCTTAACAAATGCCTGACCTCAGCTACACGAAGAGAGGGCCCATCCAAAAATCCCAATCTGTATCCTTAATGTTCCGTCTTGACTGAAAATTAGTAACAAAACCTGTTTTTCACTTTCTCTCCATGAAACAAAGTTTGACCTAAGGGACAAATGCGGATGCAACTCCTGAATTTCACTGCTATGTTTTGACAACTGACATTTTATACACATGATGCTTTAAGTGTATGATTATACAGAATTACAGTAGTAATTGAAAGCTAAGGAATAAAGATCTAATCCTGCCACTAACAGAGACAACAGCTGATCTTCCCAATTAGAAATATGTATAAATACCTTCCTCCTCACTTCTCCCATTTTAGGTATTAGCTCCATTCTGTATTATCTACTCTTATTTCTAAAAGAAACAAACTCAAAATGTGTTCCAGGTAGCTTTTAAGACCTGAGGTCTCTCCTCCCTCTGACCTCCAAATTCCAGAGTTGTCATAAAGAAAGCTACATCACACATAGACTTAATTCCTTCCTAAGTATTTTATTTTCATAGTACTTCCAATGGGGCACCCAAATACTTTATTTGCATTTTATTAATAGATTACCTTATCAATGGCTGATGCAGAGCAACCAAAGAAGCATGGACTATGACAGATATGACAGAAAGGTGGAAGTAGTCAAACATAACGTTGACGTAATGATGAAGGCCCCGATGCAAGTTAAAGTGCAGCTTTAAAGTTCGGCTACTGATTGGCTGTAGTGTGCTCAGATCATCGGGTCTAAAAATAAATAAAAACTACATATAATTAGAGCAACTTTTAAAGTAGGTAAGCAAAAAAACAAGAAGTGCAATATGCAAACAGATTATTAGTAACTGATGCAGCTATCAACTCAGCATTGGCATAAACTTTGGAATATTAATTTACAAACTGTCAACATATTGTTTAACAAAACATTTTAGATTTACACTTACGAATAGTCTGTATCTGTGAAGTGTAGATCTAGTGTTAGCAGAAAATTCATTTCATTAAGAGACTCTTCAATCTAAAAAGAAATTGTAGAATCATGAATCTTTTCAGGTCTTGTATTTAGGTTAGTCCAAACTATTAGTAAGACCAATTTAAATATCTGGATATAGTAAATTGAATGGCAGATTACCTTCCTCTCATCTAACAGCATTTTTACTTTGAAAATCATCACATCATTCACAGAAACTTCCTCATTTTTATAAAGAATCTGAAATGTTTTACTGCAAACTACATTGTCATGGACTGAAGCAGGAAAGGCAAGATCTGCACCTGAAAAAGACAGAAACAAGTGTTAATAAAAATTGGTCTAGAATCCATTTCTGGATGCTGAAGCAGATAGTAAGTGAAACTTCCATTCCTGAAAGCTTCATGTCCACCACCAGAACTTAAAGCCAACAATGAAAACTGGAGATCAGAGAAATGCTTCTGTTTGTAAGAAATACTGCATTAATATTTTTGAATATAATTTACTTTTAACAGTACATAATTCACTTTCACAGTTTCCAGACTGAAGATTTTTGCTTGGTTCTGAGCTGGAGTAAGTCCTTCCAGGCACCAAAGGTTCTAATAAAAAGCATAAAATTTGTTTTCTTTCATTCAATGTTACTGTTGTCTCAAAATTTTTAAGCACATTGAGAACTAGGAATGACTTGCAGATGAGGCAGAAAGGTTAAATGACATGCATGAACAGACTGAGTTACACAGATATACGGGTGGTTCCTTCCTTCCTTCCTACTCTCCTTCTTTCCTTCCCTCCTTCCACAGTTTTAAACACTGCTCTGGCCAGACCAGCTCCAAATATGCCTTACATTTCTCGTTCAATATTGCACTTCTGCTGATCAAAAAGAGCTCACAACAGCTGTGATAAATGTTTGATTAATGTTTGGAGAAAGGTCAAAAAATGGTTAGTGGGGAATGAGTAAGCAATCTTAATCATTACTTCATAAGAATCCACAAAAGGGAAAAAAAAAACCATCTGCAGAGTTTGTGCTTCATAGACTTGGGGTCTACAGGGCTGATACTCCCACCCTGCAACCTTCATAAAATTTGAGTTCAACTTCCCTTCAGACACTAGAACAAGGGGCAGTTGGGTCTCCTGGACGAGCTGGCTATAGAGACTGGTCCAGCAAAGGTAACTCCCCGGTGTAAGGCACCTTCAGCCCGCAGTATGAATCCACGTGGCACAAGACAGGTGAAGGGCAGAGAGGACATGGCTTCCCCTCACACGTAACCTGATATAACTGCAGGCCACCAGCAAAAGGCAGCACCTCAGGTCTGACAAAAAAAGAGGTAATGCAAACACATGGCCATGGTCCCAGTGCCTACGCACCGCTCAGCAATTTCAGAGGTAATGCAAACACTGGCACTGGGAAGTGCCTACGCACCGCTCAGCAATTTCAGTACCGATCCCCATCCCACTGACTCCAGTGAGAGGAGAAACTATTCCCTCAGGAGAGCAGCCATGGAGGAAAACCCACAGCTAGTGACAGTGGCTCCACAGCTGCGTGGGGAGTGAGCGCCCCCAGCCATGAGGCCCGCAAGAAAGCTTGTCCTGGCTCCCGCATTGCTCTGGTGAAGGGGGAAATGGAAAGGGAAGAAAAGGGGCTTAGAGAGAGACATGGGACCTGATGAAGCTGGGAAGGGCTGGACAAGTGCTGGAAGGAGAAGAAATGCAGCAGGAACAAGGGAAAAAGTGAGCTGGCACAGTTAACTTGGGGTGAGTGGGGAGAGGCTTGGGAGAGCGGGATGAGAAAACCATGACGCTGTCAAAGGGATTAGAACAAGGAAAGACCCAGGTACGAGGATGACGGAAGAACAGAGCTTCAGAGGCACAGGAAGCCTCTGGTCCCACATCACACCCGTTCCAAGAGCGAGAGCTGCTGGCTCCAGCCCAGCTCCAACCCCTCTACCGGGGACAAACACCAGGCCCTCTCAGAGGGCGGCTTGGACCTTCACCACATGATAGGGGCCTTTTTTTCCAAAATAATGTCCTGTAACTGATATGAGCCATTTGATCACCTTGAATGTAAGGCTGTGAACTAGATCTACAGCTTCTAACTCTGCTAAATTAAGGAAGCATCTAAAGCAGATGGAAGAGAGGTCCTCTATGAGATGAAGTACAACCATGTCCACCAGGAGGAAAAATGAATACCATCTCTACCACACACACACAAAAATCTAAATTAATACCAAAAAAAAAAAAAGAACAATTCCACCCACTCCTTGTTTGACCCCCAATTCCTGCTTTCAACATTGTGGTGCTGTTGTGACAGAAACGTTACTAGCAGCTACACGGTGAACCAGAAGGAGACACTGATCTAAAAAAGCATCCCAGCTTTTATTTTTGACTTCTCTTGGGTTTGTTTTTGTTTTTTAAGACTGTTTATCAGCTGGCTGAGCAACCCGGTAGAGTTCGATGGCCAGAGCCGGGCGCAGAGCAATAGAGCAGCAGGAAACAGCCTCAGGGAAGCAAAAGGCTGCCCTTTTTTTTTTTTTGACACTGTTGATTTAAACTCATGTCAAACTGCAGACATAATGTAGTTTATGCCTAGTAAAGAGAGATAAAAGGGCTAGAATATATGTCACAAAATCCATTGCGCTTTCTGAAAAACAACTGAAGGCAAAACTGTAAGATGACATGAAAAAAAAAATAGAGATAACGAAAATATAATTTAAGTAACACTATAAAAAATCAGTTTAGTAGAGTTAAATTCCAGTAAACCACAGTACACTTATGACTTAAAAAATGTGTTCCTTTGTTCATAAAAAAAAATATTTCACTTCACATATACCCAGGAAACATTCAGAAAGCTTCAGTGCCTTTACTGGTGATTCTGCTCAATAATTCAGGTCTCAGTAATCTTATATAACATTTTCTAAGTTCTGTGTTTCTGTGACGAGATTTTCTTCCTGGCAATTCCAAAAATTTCTTTTTTTCGAAATTAGGAGAGCATTAGCTTAACATTTTCTAAGTCTGTAACGAGATTTTCTTCCTGTCAATTCAAAAAAATTCTTTTTTTTCGAAATTAGGAGAGCATTAGCATATGTTTTCTGGGTTTAATTTGCCCAGGGCACAGAAATCAAAACTGAAGACCATGTTTAAAATTAAAAAAGTGGTCAGGGGAGGTGGCAGTGGGTGGATACTTCTGTTCAGGAGTTTAAATCAGCTTTTAACATTGCCTCTGGACAGCAAGGCCAGGGGACAGAAGGAGGAAGGAACCAAACATTTTCAGAGCCTTTCTTTGCAAAGAAACAAGTTCAGCAATCTGCAGGAAAGTCTGAAATAGGTGAAGTTCTTCATTACTCCCGAGGATACCTGCTTAAATGATACCTACCCACAGCCTTTAGCCATTTTAGTCCATAACAAGGGAAAACTAAGGAAATCAGTGGAAAAAAACAGAAGACACAACGGAACCGTGCTGTGCTACCAGTAACAGGAATCAACAGAGGAAATACTGCAACACAAATTCTGTAATTAACTTAAGTCTCACTGCTAAGAATAAACAAGCTCATTTTTCAGTATGTCAGCACGAAGTTGTATTTTAATTGTGTTAATAAGAAAACAGAGAATTAAAACTCTTATATTAGCTATAAAAACATAAGACAAAAAGGACACTCCTTTAATAGCAAGGTGAGATAACATCTCAATTTGCTAAAAGCTCTTGCACTTACCGGCTGCGTGTAACAAGCTAGCTTCCAATTTGTGGGGAATTCTTGGTGGGATTTTCATAGATGCACGAATCTGGTAAAAACTAAAGCAAAAGATAGTCATTGGCAACACATTCAGCTCAGTGCCCTCACTTACCATACACAGACACAGGCAAAGGCAGGGGCAGGGCAAAGGCAGAGCTATGAAATTCCCAAACTGCCTCATATATTGATTTTGATGGAACTCCTTACATGACCCAAGAGTCTATAAAAACGCACTACATGATCTGTTGTCTCCATGATATCCCACTTCAGATAAATCACTTTTATTTATTTTCAAAGGTTAGTGTAGGGAGAGAACAACAACGCTCAGACACAGGGAGTGGGAGGTCAGAAGAACCTTTCTGGGCAGAAGCACAGACAGAAACGCTCTTAAGAGCCCTTATTTCATACCCCACTCACAGCCCTGTGGCTCTTTCCATTATCCAGTGGATTCAAATCCAAAGCATCCTTATGCTGTTGTTTTGCTTTTAAACTCAACGAAGGCTGAAGCACCAGGACTTTGGCAACAAGGTGTGCAATTGTGTACTAACCTTACAATCAATAAATAAAAATAATTTTTAACTAAATCCTTTCGCAAAATTAGAAGCCACTTTAGCTTGGTCAAAACAATATACAAGATAATTATATATAATAGAAGATATTTAATAAACCAACAATGTGGTTAGTGCTGACACAATAGCAAAATGATTCCTACCTTTTTTAAAAAAACTACTACGATTATCAGTTTACTATAGGTTGAATTTTATTTTTTATTTAATTTTAGATACCCACAGATGAAACAAGACTCCAAAATCATCCAGTGATTCATAAACAGTCAAAGCTGCACTGGAGAGAAAAAATGCAATCCTAACACTGTGTCCTGTTGTACGGGAGCATAAGGAATGGAGGAGATCCCGAGAACCCTCCCGACACCAACCTCGGAGGATGAGATCTGTCACACTGACGCGTTTTCCTCCGGTCAGACTTAACATGCACCATTCAATCACTCACTCCAGCTATACCCAGACACATGTTGCATTTAAACATAAAACAGAGCAAGCAAGGAGATACTTCCCACCATCCCATGTTCCCCAGGTAATTAATTTCTGGATCGACACTGAACACTCCCCTAGCACTGGAGATGCCACACAGCGAATGGCACCTCCCTGTGATCCAAGCGACGCGAATGTGACGGCGGAGCAGAACAGCTGCTAGCCCAGGGACTACGGAAAGAACGGAGAGCCGCCGCCGTGGCGATGACAGACACCTCGGAGGATCACATATAGCCACCTGGAAGAGCATACGGAGCCTTCTACAAAGTCCAATGAACGGTACAAGGAGGGTTGACTGTTATACTCAAGCACTCAGAAATACGCAGACAGGGACTCTTCTCAGAAACTGTACAGACTCTAAAGGGAACTACCAAACCACTGGCCTTCAAACCCTAAACCTTTTTAGTCTTTTTTCTTCTTTTTTTCTTTCTTTCTTCTTCCTTTTTTTTTTTTTTTTCTTACATGGCCTACTTTTCTCTGGCCTGCAATTTGGGTTCTTTTTGTTAAAAACAGACAAACAAATACAAAAGGAAAACAAAATAACCCATTAGGAGCTCTATAAAATATATTTTCTCAATACTCCTGAGGAATGCAAGATATTTTACTTTGTTTCACTCTAACCTTCTACCCAATGGGGTCCTTGCAGCAGACTCACAAACATCCAGAACCTGCATCATTCTCACCTGATGTTTAGAACCACTTGGCAGTTCCACACAAAGTCTACACTGAAGATAAATCAAACTAAGACTTAATAGCTTAAGCAAATGTGCACAGGTTGATGAATGAGGAACTTAACAAGGACAGATGCAAGGTAAATGCAGAGTAAAAGCCAGACACTGAGCAGAGAGACGCTGCAATGTGACATTCCTATTACTTAATGCAATTAGACCAGTTCTCTGTAATAACTATTAAGTGACTGTTTACAACCCAGGCCTTCAAGAATCCAATAATCAACAGCACTATTTATCTTCAAGTCCATGCTACCTACGCTTAGAATGTAAAGGTGAAACAGACTGCTCCAACATCCTAACTTTTCCTATTACCCCCTTCTAGCATTTCCTCTAAAGCAGAATATTCTACCCCTTATTCTACTGTCTGCCTGATGCATTTTAACTTGGGCAAATGGGGAGATGAAGGTGCACAGTTTGCTTGTTTGAGACACGTCACTTTGATATGCAGCACAGATCTGTACTTGAAGCAGTTTATAACATAAAATATTTAGCTGTTAATCTGAATACCAAATATAGCTACCAAATACCAAATATACCAAATGAGCATTTTAAAAGTCGCAGGTAGAACAACAACTAATAAAGCAGAGTCCTACGGAGAGTCATGGCAGTATAGGCAGATCTGGGTTCCCAGCCCTGGGAAGCGAAGCAGGGAGCCAGCTGGCCAAAGGCCTGGCACCGCAAAGAGTCCTGAGCCTCCCTGACTCCTTACCAAATAGGTGACTCCTTACCAAAATGGGTAACACATCTTCAAAGAACTTTTTTTTCTTTTTTTTCCTCGATAAGAACACCAAGTGGAAAACACAGCAAGCAGATACAGAGGCCAGCAGAAGACTCAGATAATAAACTACTTCCAAGGTAACCAGATTATCTTTTGTATCAAGGCCTTTTAGGCCACGTGAGACTTGGCAGAAGTGCTTAGCGGGAAGGAACGTTGTAGGTGTTTGTTTTCTTTCTGCAGATTTTCCTTCCCTTTCTGGGAGTATTTTCCATCAGGCCCTGAGCTAGCTTCTGCCGGATCTGTGAGCGGAGACGTGCCCGAGGCTTTCCAAAAGCCTCACCTCCAGGCTGGAAGGAGGGTGACCAATTCTCAAGCTCTTTACCGCTCAGAGACATCACTGCGTGAAGGCTCTATAAAGCTTCTCTACATTTTCTTGACTCAGAACAGAGGGCTCTCTGCTAAACACTGTGTCCAGATCTGGGGCGTGCACTTGGGCACCTTCAGCAGAGGGCCACTGGTCGGCCAGGTGACTGCAGCACGTGCCCTTGGGAGCACCTGGGGGAATTGGGAACCCTGGAGGGAACTGGGCTTGTTCAGCTTCAAGCAGAGACAGCTGGGCAGCCTGCCAGTGCCTAAGGGGAGGTGACTGAGAAGAGTGCAGAGGTGGCACTGACAGACAGTGCTCAGAAACTGAAAAAAGGAAGCTTCTGCCATGAGGATAACGAAGCACTGGAACAGGTTGCCCAAATAGGTCAGGGAATCTCCATCTGTGGAGACTTTGAAGATCTAAGGAGACAGGACTATAAGCAATATGGTCTGAACTCAGTGCTAACCTTGCTTCTTTAAGCACAAGGATGGACTACGTGACCTACCAATGCACCTTCCAACCTTAATGAGCCTACAATCCCCGAGGCTACAGGAACTCTATAAAACAGAGTACAGCAACATGGTGAGTACAACATGGTGACTGAAAGGTGACAAAGAACGAGTTGCAGTAGTTGGCAGATGCGGTCCAGAATAACTTGAGACTTGTGTGAATATAGCAAATTCCAGCTCCTGGCTTTCCTGAATCTCAGCTTGCTGTTTAGGCAAGATGTTTCTCACCTGTCCACTCGTTTGCTTCTCTGAAAGGCGGCCTCTTCCACTTGCCATTGGATCTCCAACGCCACAGACTGGGGGAACACGATGTACAACATCACCCCCGACCTGCCAGGGCGGCCCCCGTGAGCGCTCCCCGCAGCGGCAGGCGGGGGCTCCGGAACGCGCCGCCCCTCTCCGGCGCTGCCCAGCAGCCTCGGCCTGGCGCGAGGTTTTACAGCCACCCCCGGGGCAGCTCTGCGTTTTCTCCAGAATGGGAAAGTTGGCTTAAATATTTGAGACGCTTTCCGAGACGGCACGTACAAGCAAAGCTGAAGTCATTAGTGAAGAGCTTGTAAATATGAAGGGGATTTGTGCCAATCCCAGTCTACCCTGCCTTGTTTCAGCAAACGAATGCGTCACTTGCTGATGTCCGTATCTCTCACTTGGCCCTGAACAAAATAATCACGTGCAAATCCATAGCTCTGCTATTAAAAGGTCCAAGGAGTTTTGTGTCCTTAAACTTAGGGGCCTTACAGGAAAAGGTCTCTTTTAAAAGTGCTTGTTGGAATTACTGCTCTCCCAGAGGGAGACTCCGGCTCTCCAGGAAGCAGAGAGGACTTCTGCTGTCCAATCTGCAGGAAAGGTGGCTTTTCCAAATGAGTTGCTTTAAAATCTGAAGGGTTCAAATACCAATATGAGCCAGAAAACCCTTTCCCACTCGGACATCACGACAGACTTCTTTTTGTGACTGGGCTCCTAATTTAGATGGCTATGAGTAAGTTTTTCATCCCATTTGTTGAAAAACATGACTTATAATCTAAGCAAGAAGAGTGCTTGAGAATATTTGGAATATGCCTTGCTACCAGGAAAAAAAGGAAATAGTGGAAGGAAAATGGTTCTTTCATTTTTCAGTGCTCTCACATTGGGACCATGTGTGCAAATGCAGTGTGTGCAAAAGGAGAGCCATTACCAACAATTTCTCGTGTGTGTGTGTTTTTTTTTTTTTTAAAGTGTTTCTACAGAGGAATCTATATGACCATCTACTTGAAAAACAACTTAGCCAACTAAAATACATTCCAAGGGAAATAATGTAGATCCTAAACAAGCTTTTGAGATTTTTGAGATAATTTCCTGCAGTCCCTCACTCTGAGCAGACAGAAGCAGCGCAGGCAGCAGACAACAACCAGCCGCATCCCTTGGACCCCAGGGCACAGTGTCACCCAAACGCCGCCTGCCCGGTGGAACCAGCTGCTCCATCAACCCTCTCACAAAGAGCAGGAGCAGATCTGAAACCCAGGAGAGCTTTATGGAGCGCAGAACAGCAGCAAGACCTCTCTCCTCCTCTTAGGGTGAGCTTAAGGGAGTCATATGTATTGGAAAGTAAGTTTGCTTAAAATAAAAACGTCTTTTAAAAGCACATCACATGCCTACAGTACCGGCTACTTCTGAAATCTGAAGATACATATAAATAAAACAGTTAT